AGGGCCCATCTCAGAGTTGGGTCCAGGTGAGTGCGGTGTGAATCCAGGCTGGTGGGAGATGGGCGGAGAGGGCCGGCCTCAGTGTCCTCCGGGGCCTCCTGCGGCCTCCTGCCAGCCCTGTCTTGGCCTGGCTGGGCCCCATGGCCCCAGATCCTCCAGTGATCACCACCCATCCCATCCAGGAGTTAAGGCCAAGAAACCCATCCAGACCAAGTTCCGAATGCCACTCTTGAACTGGGTGGCCCTGAAGCCCAGCCAGATCTCAGGCACCGTCTTCACGGAGCTCAATGATGAGAAGGTGCTGCGGGTGAGTGTGGCCTAGCCCTGTCCCCAGAGTGGGCACCAGAGGCAGAGGGTCATCTGTGCCACCCCATCTCACAGATGATGTGGAGGCCCAGGGACAGGCACAGAGCCACACTGGATTGGTCCCTCCACAAGGCAGTACTGGGTTCCCCAAGACTTTGCCCTGCACCCTGCAGAGGGGCATGCGCCCCCCCCCCAAATCTGGCCTCTCCTCTTCCTCGACTTCCCCACAGACAGCCAAGGTCACAGCTCTCCTGGTCCCACTTTCAGTTTCCTGGAAGAGATGTGATGTCTTGCTTATAGGTCATTGCTCATGCTGTTCCTTCTGCCTGGAATGTCTCCCCTTGCCCCTTTTTACTCCTGGCCAGTTCAGCTCTTCCTTCAGCTTTGTGGCCCTGAGTCTGGGTCTCCTGGGCTGGGTGGGCCTCCTCCTCTCCTCCTGTCCCTCCCCTGTGTCTCCCTCCAGGGCCTGTGGACGGGCTGGGTTTCTGGTCTACTTCCCTGCTGGTGGCCTGGTCAGGGCCAGACCGGTGGGTCTGGCATGCAGCACAGTGCTCAGCCAGGAGTGTGCCAGCCCTCGGCCCTGCCCAGCCCCACCTCCTCTCCCTGTGCCCCCAGGAGCTGGACATGAGCGACTTTGAGGAACAGTTCAAGACCAAGTCCCAGGGCCCCAGCCTGGACATCAGTGCCCTCAAGAGCAAGGCGGTCCAGAAGGCTCCCAGCAAGGCCACACTCATCGAGGCCAACCGGGCCAAGAACCTGGCCATCACCCTGCGCAAGGGCAACCTGGGGGCTGACCGCATCTGCCAGGCCATCGAGGCGTGAGTCCTCCTGCTCTGGTCTTGTGGGCGGGCCAGTCCCTCTGCTAGGCCAGGGACGCCTAGTGAAAGAATCCTAGCTGTGGGCTCTGATCAGGGGACCTTGTCGCATTTTCAGGCTGAGAAAACTGAGTCCCTACTGTGAGTCATTGCCCAAATGGAGACATTCCCACTCCCTCCTTTCCTCTCTGCTTAGGCTGCTGCGTCTACCCGGGGACCCAGGCTTCCCCACTTCCGGTTTCTCTCCGCTCCCTTCTCTAGTTGGAGGAAGCTGTCAGCATACAGCAAATGTCAGAGTTCATATATTCAATCCAGGGGGCAGCCCTGCTCTCAGGAACTGGCGGGGCGGGTGACAGCCCCTCTCCCTCCCCGCCCACACAGGTACGACCTGCAGGCCCTCGGCGTGGACTTCCTGGAGCTGCTCACCCGCTTCCTGCCCACGGAGTATGAACGCAGCCTCATCGCCCGCTTCGAGCGGGAGCAGCGGCAGGCGGAGGAGCTGTCTGAGGAGGACCGCTTCATGCTGCGCTTCAGCCGCATCCCGCGCCTGCCCGAGCGCATGGCCACGCTCACCTTCCTGGGCAACTTCCCGGACACGGCCCAGATGCTCATGCCGGTGTGGGCGGGATGGGCAGGGGGGTG